GTAGAATTCTTTTCTCATATCGACACAGAATTTCACTTCAGCACCTTGGGCTCTTGCCTTTTATCCTGTCACCACGCAGCCCAATGAAGAGAGTGCCTTCAACTTATCTCTAACCTTCTCTTTAGGTAATGGAAGAAAGTGAATAGATTTTTTGTAAGCCTTCCATTCTAGGTTGAACAACTCCATTTCTGTCAATCTTTCTTTGTAAGTTAAGATGTCCAACCCTCCTTGGTCACCTTGATGGACACTTCAATTTTAACATCTCTCTTGAACTTGGAGGACCAAAACTGGAGAGTGTTCCTGGTGTGGCTTGACAAGAGACAAGTATTGTGCATCAATCACATCCCTTGTTCTGTTGGCTATAGTCTTGCTGATAAAGCCTTCAGTTTGCTTTCCTACTGCAAGGATGGGCTGCTTACTTATATTCAGCTTGCTGTCCTCTTGGATCCATAAGTCCTTTTCAGCCAACATACATTCCTGCCAGTCAATTTCCAGCCAGTACAAATGTTTGGGATTATTTTCTGCCAGGATAGACTTTGTATTTATCTTTGTTAAACCTCATTCCTGTTATACTAATTTTCCAGCTTCTTGATGTCTCTCTGCATGGTAGCTCTTTCTTCCAGTTGTCTATCTCTCTTCCTTGTTTAGTGTTGTCCACAAACTTGGTGAGGGTGCTTTCATTACCATTTTCCAAACTGTTTATAAAGATATTGAATAATATCAGGTCTAGGACTGACCACAGAGGCACTCCTCTCATGACAAGATGCCAATCTGGCCTTGAGCTATTAACTACCACATTACAAGATCAACATCTCAGCCAGTTCTCCACCAGTAGGTGCTCCATCTGTCCAGTCCATATCCTACCAGCTTGCCATCAAAGATGTTGTGAGACATCGTGTTGGGCACCTTGCTAAGGCTCATGTAGATGGGTCTTTACGAATGCACTTTTCATATGTCATTCTTTTTGCCAGTGCAAACACATAAGTGATGAACTTGGTGAAGTAATTCAGAAGTGACATTTCATAGTCTGTGTATTACAAAGGGTCAGAATAAATGTGCATAATTGTTCCTTTGGCCTTAAAAAAATCCATGAATCAAGCAACTTTAAGAAAAGTGGCCTGTGTCCACTAAGAATGCGATGCCTAGGGAAAAAAGTCACATAGCTGTTATAGGCAGTGTCATAAATTGAAAATAGTATAGTAGGATAGGAAGTCTGTGGGGGGTTTTTTGACATAAAGATTGTCATGGTTGAATTCTTATGTGTTGGAGAGTACTAGCATAATATATACGAGAACTGCGTTTCTGACTTTTTGTTTACTTATTTCTTTTCTCAAAATTCAATTTTAATTACTTTTAATCTTTCCTTTGTTACTACAGCCTCTTTTGAGTTTAAATAATGCATGGGTGACAGCAAAGCTGAGGCATTGTCTGTGACACATAAATACTTTTAGAAGCCAGGAAAGAATGCTATCATTAAAATAATAATCTCCATTAATGGATTTGTAATTTTTCCTTTGTAGAAAAGTGTCAGAATTTGCCTGGCACATTTTTGCTCTGCATTTATCCAATCTTGTCTTGTATCACGAGGTCTGCTTTCCTGTCCTTTGATCCTTGTTTATTCTGGCATTCATTCAACATCCTGATATTTTTCTAACCTTGAGTCTCACTGCATATATATTTGTCTTTCCTAGCCAGTGCTTCAGGATAGAGCGGTAAGTAACACGTAACTAACAATGATTCCTTCTGTTTCCAGCCTCACAGTTGTACATAGCATTAGATCAAATTAGAGCCTTTGCCAGGCTTCCTTTTGTGATCCCTGACATGCAGTTATCTTTCAATGATCTTTCAATTTATGAACACTGAATATGTCACCAACAGTATCCTCTGAATGTCATTGTGAGAGCTACCATTTTATGCACCAGGTAGATAAGTTTCTTGATTTGCTTAACTTTTTCATTTCCATCTTTCCTGTTCTCTTTTTTTATTCCAGTGAAATTCAAATATTGCAAAGCATAGGCAGCTTTCTTACCACTCTGCATTGTCTTCAGAATTACTGAGGGAAAACAGGCATGATAAATCATGTCACCACAAGTTATCTTATACAGACATCATTTCCGGTTGATTTCAAGTTAGGTTGGCTTTCCAGACAGTGATTTCCACTTAGATGAAACAATATGGTGAACTAACCCAGATAAAATAATACACTTCATTGATGGAGTATATAAGTTCATTAACGAGATTGATTTGCACACAGTGAAAGAAGATGGAAACTTAATGTAAATTGCAGCATCTGCTTCTATCAGTATGAATAACACAGTCATAACCACAAGAAGCAATATATACGTATTGGAGTGTCATCCTCTTTAGTTCAATATCAAATGGGCTCCTGATGCTTTTGATTGTTCCAGCTTCTTGATTTTACTCACATGAGTCTGCTGAGTAGTTTGCCAAACACAGGGGAAACCCATTTGTGATTGTATTTTCCTGAATCAAATGTTGTGGGGTTTTTTTTATTTTCAGATAAAACATTCTCTGTTGTGCATAAAACAAATCCTGTAACCTGTACTATACACTTTTTTTTGGCAAGAATTTCTGAACTCAGAATTTAGATGTCACAAGCAGATGGACTGTTTTCCTTGGCACCATTTCAGTTCTGACTTTTAACTTTTAGGGGTGGAAGAAAGCAGTTCAAAGACACTGTAGTGTTCTACCTATATAAGAAAACTAAGAGATCACTGTGCACTTTCTATCACCCTTGTTAGCTTCATGGTGGTAAGCCATGTGCACTGATATTCTAGGGTTTGTGTTGTCTTCTACAGTCTCACTAATAATGTGTAGACTTTTTTACTTTTTTTTTTGTTGTTTGTTTTAATTATTCCAGTAAGAGAGCTATCCTATGCAGGAGCTTTCTCTGGTTTTGTTGATGACCTTTGTTCCTTCCTTTTAAATAATAGCTGTGGCTTCATCCTAGCTGATTAAATCAGTTGTCATAAAATGAGCACTCTGTCCTTTAGAGGATATTGTATTTTTTCACATGCTCTAATGCTTTGGTAGAGAGCAACCGTTCCCCCTGCTAACATGTTTTTGTACTGGAATTTGGTTTTATTTTCAACAGAAATATAGATATATGTATTATTACAGTCCATTCTTTCTTTATTTTCTGTTATAGCTCATTTGGTTGTTTTTTGGTTTTTGTTTTTTGGGTTTTTTTTGGTTTTTTTCCCTTCAACATGCGTCAGCAATGTGTATCTAACAGTTTACTAAAATTATTTTCTCTGACAATTTTTTATATTGTTAAGATTATTTATAGTGGCTAAAATGCTTGGTTTGTGTACTGGGGTAAAGATTGTATGTCAAAAGAATTGAATACAGGTTCTTGGTAAAATGTTACAAATAGTAAAAAGCATTCATTTTCCATCCTTTCTGTAGTAGATAATAATTTAGATTCCTACAGAGCTGATGTGCATTACTTAACGTAAGTTATGCTACAATGCAATATTAAATGCTTGCAATAATTATTTGATTTTCAAAACAAACCCTATGAAGAGAGATCATATCTGTTTGGTCTTCTCTATTCTATGTGTTCACAGTATAGTCTGAAGAAAAATTATTTCCGCTTTCATTGTTACTAAAATCTTTTGCAATCAGCCACAGACTATGTTCAGTACAGTAACAATGTGTTCATCCAGAGTTCCTAAAAGTCTTCAGTTTTCATTAGCATTGACACTAGACTTAGTTCAAATGCTTGATTTGCTAAGTCCTCAGGCAGAGGGAAATAACTCTTGGATTGTATCTCATCAGGGGAACAAAGTCATCTTTTTTTTCTAAATACTCGTTCTTTTTATTCCACATACACTGCTAATTCTCCTCTGGGGCAGAATTTCTGGCTGCCAATCAGCTAAACTTCAGAAAGGTTTGTAGTGTCAATCTTTGTTTAGTATCTCCACCAGAGCTGACAGCAGAGTTATGTTTAAGGCTGACATTAAAAAGATGAAAGACTCCTTAAAAAGTCTGATTATACTAGTTCACGTGCTGTATTTCTACACTTTATTTACTAAGCAAGATTTAACATTACCAAACATATTCTGATACATCTTGAGTTTGAAACATTATTAAACAGATGGGGCAAATGTAATGTAAAATGTTCAGTACTTCTAATACTTTTAAATTATCCATTATGATGGATATGATCTCTTAAGGACTGTGTGGGAAGGTAATATCTTTTTTTAAAGAAGCTGAGGTGAAGGAAAGGAAGTGATTCCTCTGTAGTTGCACAGCATCACTTTGTGCCAAACTACTGTCTGCTTTGTCCCAAACTACTGTCTCTCACTTCCTGTCACAACAGTTCTTTGCATTCTGGGAACATTGAAGCAGAAAACACATGTTCTTTTTTAAGACTTCTAGCAGTCAATTTCTGAATGGCAAGCTAGTATTAGTGTGACCAGAGTGTGACACTATCTCTTGCCTAAAATCTTTCTCGAAGTATTTTTGCTGTCCTCCCTCTCACAACAGTTTTCTCCACATACTGTCATCTGTAAGTGTTTGATTACTTCACGTTTCCACAGTGTGCTTTAGTTTTCAGAATTGCTCAGGAGCAACCAAGATAGATTGAAATAAGAGTTAAACTTTCAAATGTGCCAGAATCCACAGATTCCCCTGTAACACTCACCAACATTGTTGATGAACTTGAGTGCAATGAAATACTTAATAGTTTTCCACTGACTTCATCCTTCATCTTACATAAAATATGCAAACAATAAAAAAGAGATAAACAACAGATACTGTGCATTTTCTTGAGAATCTGTCCAGCTGTTTTGTTTTATACAAACAAGATGAGAAGTACACATAAGACGAAAGGTACAGGCATCCTTAGAAGAATGCCTTGGTAAAACCTGACATGTAGTAAAATACAGTAAGACCAATGTGCACACTTAAAATTTGCTTTCACTCTTATAAGCATATTATTCTTACTCATGTTGCGTCTAATTTTTGTCTTTCAGAAATCCAAAATCTCCACTTACGACAAGATGTGGGCCTTCATGAGTAGCAGGAGGCAGTCAGTACTTGTCAAAAGTAATGAAGAAGGTATCCAGCGTGTGCTTACCTCTGATTATGCATTTTTAATGGAGTCGACAACCATTGAGTTTGTCACACAGCGGAACTGTAACCTAACACAGATTGGAGGCCTGATAGACTCAAAAGGTTACGGTGTTGGAACTCCCATGGGTAGGTGATATGTCATCCATTTGTTCTCTGTTCATTAATTTTAGTTGCTGCAGTAGCATAGAAAAGCTCCAGTACACTGTTGCTTTCTCCATATTGCTAACCTTTTTTCTTATTCTGTTTTCCTCCCCTGGGGAAAATATTACATATTTTATCAACTTTTATGGATTTTATTGCATTTTCTAAACAGAAAAGAATAATTACTTTGTGAATAATTGGACATTTTAGTATGATACATTTCTCTTACATGGTTCCTTCCATATGTTCAACAACAACAAGTACTTTTCACAGCACTTTATTTTATTTTTTAAAAAAAATAATGTTGATCTCTCTCTTTAGAGAATGAGGTGCTAGTAGTACAAGGGTTACATTAGCACATGGAGATAATGCTTCCATACTGAGAGGGCTTGTCACTGAGATTCTTAAAAGAGGAGGGAAGATTCCATTCATGCCATGTGTAATCCACAGACAAAAGAAATACTGAATTAGGCTTCTGGAATAGGATTTTGCAGAGCAATTCCAATCCTGTAAATATTTTCCAGATCAAGTGTTCTTGACTAGGTGAAAAACTTTAGTTGCAAGATTAGAAGCCAACTACAGACATTAGTTTGGCTGCAAGAATTCACAGGACGGGATTCAGCACTCACTGAGGTGTTGAGCTCCGACAGTGATTTCTAAAGAACATGAGCTGAGGATCTGGCTTTAGATATAAGAATAGATGGGAATAGAAAATGGTGTGACACAAAGACTCTGTCAGTACTGCACAATGATGCTACTTAAATATTGTAAGAATGTTCTGCTGACTTCTTTGCAAGGCTAATATTTATTTTAACTTTATGTTTAAGAAGAATTTATCATTTTTTGATTTATGTGAATATGTTTTATGTTTTTCTCAAATAGGTTTTACATTTGGTAGTAATTTTATCTGTGTTAATACTATACACTGAAGCATTGTACGGGGAAAGTTGTGTTCAGTACTTTAGAATCAAGCACATAGTAAAGAAGATTAAGAAATGAACTTTACTTGAATATCCTGGATAAAGTCATCTAGTTTTATCAAATACAGGTTTCTCTATATGTTGTAGATATTTACTGCAACTTTAATAACATTTTATAATTTTCATGATTTCAATAATTCACTATGAAATGAACATCTACAGAAGTTATGATTCTGTTCGCTCTGTCTTTGACCAGTTAGCTGTTAGGAATCCATATACCACTTTTTCCACTCTGTTCTGTTGTGGCTTCTTATACCACTTGAATATGTTCTGTAGGCATATAAGTGCCAGAAGGGACTGGATTTCAGTCCTGCTGCTCTTTTTGACATCTCATATTTTCTGATATATTCTTTTGTTACTTTGAGGGGGAAAACCACCTTCTGTTTAGATTTAGTTTGGGGAAAATAAAATCTTTGTGATAGCTTAAATTCCTTGAATAAGCTGCAAGCAAACTTGTGAAGCACCTGAAGCATTCCCCAGAAATCTAAGTGCCCATGGAAGTGTCAAAGTGATAGGAATCGGAGAGCCCAGGCTATATTACAAACAATTTTGATTATGTGTAAATCAGAGAAGCAGCATAAACACCAGAGAAAACAGATTAAAAGCAATGATAAAGCCAGAAACAAACTTCTAGAGTTAAAGTTTAGAGGAAGAATTATTGGATGTAGAGAGGCAAGGAAGCAAGTAAGTAAACTGTCTTTTAGTCTTTGTCCCCTAACTTATCTGGGGAGAACAGGCACTATGCAGGCACTATTTCTTTATTAACTTTGAATCATATCAAAGACATCATTCATCTGCAAGATTCCAAGTAATAACAAATTATCTGAGACAAGAGAAATAATTGTTTTGTACAAGGGGATCTGTGAGTTGTGAATTGTCTTGAATCAAGATGAAACAGAGAACGTACCTGCAGGAATCAGAAATCACCAAAGGAGGTAAAAGAGTGGAAATAGTGTTAAACTTAGCAACAGAAGTTGAAATAAGAGCTATAAAAAAGATGAAGCCTTCCTAAAAAGAAATATAATGTAATATTAAAAAAACCCTAAAATAATATGTAAAGTAAGGTTTTCACAAAAGAAATGAAGGTACAACAAAACAGCATCTGGAGCCTTCCCAGGACACCTAAGAATACGAGATTAAACTTGTGTTTGGGAAGTAGCTATAAAATGCTGTCCAGAGAACTAACATTTATAAAAGTTTTATTATCCTATGTATTAACCACACAGTCTCAGAGAAAAAGAGATTGGGTAATGTCCACTAAAACAATGCACAGTTCACATATACATTTGAAAGGAAACTTTATGAAGCAGCATATCCACAGTGTCTGTCAGAGCAGTTTTTGTTAAATATATTGCTTTGTTGAAGCTAAAAAAAAATTCATAGAGCAGTGGATAATACAAAATAAACTCGTGTTTATCTCATTCCAGAGTCTTTAAAAGATCTTATGACATGGCTAAATCTACAGAAGTAGATTTCATCATTATTTCATGATTATGGAAGAAGTTTATAGATACATGATTGAGTAATTTCTTTTTAGAGTTAATAATCCTGAGTAACATTTCAAGTGCTTGGAAAACTACAGTGTAATGGTTTCACAAACCAAGCACACATTGCTACTTGTACCTATTTGGGAAGCAACACGTCTCTGAGCAGAACAATACAGAACTATTTGTATTAGAAGCATGGTATCTGAAAGAAATAGTTGTAATCTCAAAAAATATCCATTTTATCTCCTGGAATAGTGGCTTGAAGTTGCAGAAATACTTGCAGGTAAAGTTTAATTTGTAGACTATTGTTACAGGCCTTATGTTGAATAGAGTAGAATGGGTAAGTTTTACTTTTGGAGAACAGCATCAAATGAATAGGTGCAACATGTCTTGTTCCTTTTGAAAGCTAATAGTGAGAGCATAATTTGCTTGAGCTTAAGTAACTATTAACCAGAAGAGCTGAAAGGTTTCCTAACAGAAAAATATGCTATCAGAGTAGGCTATGATAGGATAATCACTTTGAAAATGCAACCACCCAAATATAGCACCAGCTTAGAGTCCTGCAGTAGAAGCTTTCTGCTCATGATGTGAATTTTAAATTCAGAGAAAGTAAGTTGCACAAGATGAGAAGAAAAAACCATATGTATCAACTCCTTGCAAACACACTGAAGAAGCAAAATCTGAGTTCACGTGATTATTTTAATCATGCTAAGAGTATTAGTGAAATAAACAGTGTTTAGATTGCTAAAATGTAGCCTTGATGAAGGAAATTTGAAACAGTGTACTTTTGGCGCTAAGCAGGATCAGTGTACACCTTTAAAATCAACAAAATACACTAATCACAGAATGTTAGGGGTTGGAAGGGACCTTGAAAGATCATCTAGTCCAACCCCACCTGCCAGAGCAGGACCGCTTAGAGTAGATCACACAGGAACAGGTGCAAGGCAGCATTCTGTATATCTTTGCTGTTAGCTTTATTTAATATATCGTATATGACACCTGCAGCACTGAAAAGTAAACTAGAGATAGTGAATTTGATAAATTATACATACAATGAATGATTCTCATGGTACATGTTTATAATTTAACAGTCTTGTATATACTTGAATTCATTCTCGGTCAGCCACCTCTGGTGCTAGGCTAGAAAAACTTCATTTATAATGAAAAGAGAAGGGAAGAGCAGACCTGGGATGAGATGACTGACAGCAATTGACAGCAATTGGATACTTTGGAGCAGATAAGGGAGGACCTAATTGTAACTGGGATTGTGTTTGTTTCATTTTATTTTCCATCTTTGCAACTTTATTTATAGCTTTGTAACCAAGAGTGTAACACTTAAGCACATTTGGCTTTTTTTCCTTCCAGTTTGAAGCTCCACACGTCAGGGTTTTGTGTTGGCTTTATTCTGGCATGTCGTGTTAGGAGGCGCTATTTTGCCAATCCTGTATTATTCATCAGTGAATCTGGTAGACAGGAAAACTTTTTTTAACATGCATGAAGCTTGAAGCATTCTATATAGTTTGTTTCTAATAACAAATATATGAATATGTATCACATGCAATTATCTATTAGAAATACATAAATATTTCTTTTAGTGGTTGGAGTTGGGCTTTCTGTGGACATACATATCATCATCCAGGTTGATATTCAAGGATGGAAGGAGGGGAGGGAGGGAGGGAAGAAGAAAGAGAAAGAGAGAAAAGATACAGAAAGCAAATGAATGAAGGGGGGTGGGGAGAGAGAGAACAAACCTTTTGAGTATGCAGAACAACTTCTGCTTTTAATGATAGATCCTCTGAAGTGTTACTTATCCCCTCCAGGAGTCTTAAATGTCCCATTTCTTCATCATGCATGATAAAGGTGTTTAAAATTGGGTTTGTTCTTTATTAAATCCCAGTTGGGATAAATTTACCAGTGCAAAGGATTCCTAAATATTTATGATACTTCCACACGCTTATGGTTTTATCAAACATAAATTGTAACTTTTTTCCTAGAAAATCTGACCTATCCAGCAATATACTTTTCGTGCCCTACTGAAAAACAGTTAATGTGAATTTCCTATGGTCAACATACTGTACAACACAGTAATATTATGTGACAAAAGCTATTTTTCCACAATGACTAATTAACATCATTGTTAATGTGAAGTCAACCACATGGAAGGTTAGGAATGTTGCTTCTATGCACTCTATATTAAGGCCTTAATAGTCTGCAAAGCTACTTCGCACTTCTTTTACTTTTTACTCTCCAGCTGGAAGGAACATATTTGAAATCACCTATTGGAAAAAAGCAAATCTTCATCTCTCTGCCTCTCTGGAGTGGTTTCAGGTTCTTATTTCTTTTCCAAATTCCTGATTCTCTCCAGCATGTTAGACAGCAGGCTACTTTCCATCTGGCTTGGGAAGATTTTCTACTAAATTGCCAGTTGCTTCTATGTTGAACCTGGAGTACATAAGTGACTGACAAGTGTATATGTCAAACCAATTCCATATGAGCAGATCTACCAAGCACGCACCTT